TATACATTCTTTTTCACAACATTATGAGTTACTCGTCTGTTGATGAGTCCATGGCACCGCCCCTGCTCAAACGTGACCTCTTTCCATTATAGCAAAGAAATCCGGCACTTCGCCATCTCTGCCCAACCCTGACCATATGGCACACTTGAGGATCTTTCTAATAATATAATGTCCGACAATTGAACGAAAAATACCTCGATGCAAACTACTGTGCTTGAGTTTCATATTTTATTTATCAGAACCATTGTTTGTGAGAAAGAGGTAGAGCAGAAAGATTTATAAAGCATTAATAAGCCATTTCGAATATACAGATATTTTCCGGAGCATTCCATACAGCTCGTTTTTTTCATTGTGTAGTGATTATCGACAGATGCCTCCACGGCAGAAAGATCCCCGTCGGCAATCGACACTGTTCTGGCATCTTGTGTTGCTGGCAGCCATAGGGTACTGAAAATGAACACGCGGTTATAGGTGCGAGTGATTTTGTGCTGAAGTTGTAGTTCAAAGGTACCGAAAGATTGATCCGAATTGTTTGCGGAGAGCAGTTGTTTGCCCCTGGAGGGCAACAGTTAACACAACGGGATGGAGCCGCCCTGAATCAAGTATGAAGTTTAGAACTACAAAAGCTAATCAAAGGATCAGATCGAAAGCTTCTGCATCACACCATCAACAACTAAACACACTTTAGTTCTCAACAATATAATATAAATTGATTACAGTAAAATAGCGGTTTGTGAAGGACGACTGGTTACTACATATATGTCCTCGGAACCACAATTCATAAACTACTCACTGATATTCCTCTTGGCGTCCAATGTACTGGGAAGTAGTAGTTGCACCAGTGGTGCTAGTTAATCCCTTAAAAATCTTTTGATGACTTCAAAATTCAGAAAAGGATGTGCGAGCAGTGTCATGAATGGCATACCGCAGTCGTGGTCGTTGTCGATGACATCATCGTGGTTGAAGCTCTAACTGTGGTTGGAGCAGCGGTGGACGTCGTGGTGGTCGTTGGAGAGGTAGTAGTCATAGGTGTCGTAGTTGTAAAGCTAACTGTAGTGGTTGTTGGTCGAGTGGTTGTGGTGGTACTACTAGTAGTAGTGCTTGTTGTTGGAGAGGACGTTGAAGCGGTCGGGCTCTCCGTCACCAGAGGGACCTAAAACGGGACAGTGAAGACAGCTGTTAGGTTCACACTGCTAAATATGAGCTGTTTATCATGTTCCTTGTATGTCCTTGCGTGGATGTTATAAAGCTCAGAAACAAGAATCGCGTGTAAGGCCATTTATGAGGAGTCGGATTTTCAGGATCAAAATTTTAATATACTGAAACTGAAAGTGACGATTTTGGCTTTTCCCTGTATGTGCACCACTGATATGGCTTTTCCCTTTATGTGCACCACTGATATCCGAAAGGTCAAAATCTCACTCCCTTCAAAGATGTACGTTGGCAAAGAAATCATCCTCAAAAAATGCTCAATTAGCATAAAAAGAATAAACGGTGAAGCATTCGGGGTTTCTCAATCCCTTTTCGGGATTGTGCCGTGCATACTCCTTCAATTCAGAGTCGTACTGGCAATTTGAATGCTCTTTGGCGTCTACAAAGACTTGCCGGGCCAGCCGATGTACATATCAGTGCTTTTCTCCGCCCACTCGAGTCTAGTACCGATTAATTGACCCCGTCAGGAAGGGAGGCTTGGCTTCCTTGAATGGCGCACGACCAGGGTTTGATCCTCGGACTGTGTGCGTGTCAGGCAACGTCACTTACCACTACACCATTTCGCCCTTCAACTGGCAATCAGGAAAAGTTTGTTCAATGACCGGGCCACTCGGCAGTAGCGGATTGCTAGGCCACAGATGCTTCCACGTATTGGATCAGATTTTTTCGATTCACGTGTAGAAATAGGAAAATAGCAGATTTATTACTCGGTTTATTAGCAGGTTAGTGTGATAGCCATTGAATTAAAAAGCGATGGCGGCTTAGTGCGGCTGCTAATGGTGGTAGCTTTACGACGTGATTTATGCACTGGACATGAACCAGTCGGAATATTCGTGGTTTCCGTGATGATTTTCCTTTTTCACCTTTTTTACCGAGTCAATGGAAGAAACCACCGACCTCAACTCTCTGACATTGTCCATTGATGGGTTCTTCACCGCGTCGGCAAACGCACACATTCTAAAGAAACTTTTTGAATCTTACATTTTTCATCTTCATCTCTTCATTCACACATCATTTAAAAAACGAACGTTTTCACAAGCACTGCCTCCCACGCAAACAGTGTCTGGGATTCGACAGAAACCTCCGGGATAGGCGATATATGGTTGCTGATCGAAAAGCCTGTAAAAGACTGGTTCACCCAACGAACTACTATTTGGAATTCTGACAAACCTTGGCTGAGTGGTTGTAGTGGTTGGCTCACTAGGGCTTACATAGCCCTCCGTAACTGGGTAAGTTACTGGAAGAACATATTTAGAGAATTATTGAAGTGCAGAAATGAGGAACTGAGGATAAGGGCTGAATCTTCCGTAAGGTCCAACGACTATACCTGGTGGATGTTCCGGCTGTGGTGATGGTTGACTTGGTTGTTGATAAGGTGGATAATAACCTTGTGGTTGCGGTGGTGGTTGACTTGGTTGCTGGTGGGGTGGATAATAACCATGACCAGGTTGCGGTTGTGGTTGTGGAACTGCTGGGTGGGGCGCTGGATAGGCAGGCTAAACAAGTATTAGACTTGGTTTTTCAATAAAATTAGTGGGAAAAAAGGACAAATTAAGGGACGTTGAAAGAGAAGAAAAAGTTCCTGGGAAAGCAAAACGTGTGACTCTCGTGGCTCGTCGTACAACGGGTGAACTATTCGAGTTCACGGTCAGCAGAGTTCAACCAGGTAATACTTCAACCTCAAAGTCGTAAAGTGTGATTGAGTTTTTTTGTTCTTCTGAACTTTGCTTTTTGTCGTGAAACTTATCGAACTATCTTCTGACAATAGTTCACAGACTCGGTTCCAAGTTCATAGTGCATTTACAGATAGCCATTGCTGATCTTCTGTGCATGAGGGAAAGTTTGCAGCGGGGTACAAATGCGAATTACGGTTTGGTTTCCTTTGCCTAAGAACCAGGAAGAACCATTTATTGGTACACGCACCAGCGCGGTCGTATTTGCGATTTTGATAGAGGTCGTATTTGAGGATGGCGAAGGCTGAAAAGCCGGTTGTACAGTGTGGGGGAGGGTAGGGGGACAAAAATGTCTCCCATGGGGCACATCACCAAACTTTTCGGCACCGTACCGCTGTTGGTGGAAGTTTTCTGGGGAAATGTCCCCTAGATGTCCCCTCACAAACAGGAGCAGGCCCTCCTCCGCTGCCCTTACCGTCTCTAGAATGTGATGTCATTTAGCATCACCATCATGATGAGGCGTACCGTAATCGCTTTAGGATGGGGCTGATGCAGAATATCTTGAATCGATCAAGCGGTGGGTAGTTTCCCACATGCAATAGCTCTAACAGTGCAAGACCGCTTTTTCTCAGCGTTTGAATAAGGTCATAATGGTCCATGATCCGTCGATGACTTCGTTGAGGTCGCACCGCGCACCATGTTCCCGAAACAAAATCTTCTGAAGCCGACGAGATAGAAGGAGATTTTAAAGTTTTTTTGACAGATTGGAATGTGCTTTTCAATCCCCTGTTCGGAAACAGTCGGCTCGAATTCAGCAAGGTGTGGTTAATTCCGTTCTGAATGTAAAGGGGTGCTTTTTTGCCACCACCCCCCCCCTCCCCTGCATGGCTGTATGGCTTGGTCGTAAATGTCTTAAGAAACTCCAACGCTAGGGTTGGCCCTGCGCAGAATTCGGGTTGGACCATATTATGAAGCTATTAACCATTTCCAGCTTCTAGACAAGATCAGGTTCAACAGGTGCACTGCTTTTGAAATGTGTCCACTGCAGTTTGCCGAGAGAACTCTCAAACGGAGATCTACTAGAAGAGCTTACTAACACATTGACTACAGCGAGGCATATACGGGCCAGCACTTTCACAAAGGGAAGACTTCATTTTGCTTTTCAATGGGCTGCCTTCATGTGTCAAATCTACGCAAAAAATCGGAAGACAATACGTACAGTTACTGATTATGGATTCATTGATAGAGTGATGAGTATCAAGGCAAGGGTCAGGAAGGGTTGCGGGTCTAGGACGCTTGAAAATGAAGACGGACATGTTTTTCTAATTAACCCTATCGTGTTTTGCTTTCAGAATGGATGGACTGTACGTGACGGTGAGATGTAATTCATCTAAAATTTCTGAATTACAAGGATGCCATGTTATGCCACCGAAGGGGGGGGCGGGTCATAGCTTAGGCCACGCGGCGATAGCTCAGAGTGGGCCAAGGGTGAAATTAACGCGCGTTTTTAGTCTCGAGCGTGGCTCACCCTTGTAGTTGCATACTCGCCACGCAATTGAAGAAACGGGTTAATTTGGCCGCCTTATCCAAACCAGTGCCTTTGTTAAAAAAAAAGAAATCAAAAAGAAGAGATACCACACGACTATGTCGCCTGCTGTTAGTTTGGTTTCTCTTCTTATGGGGCACCCTTCAACAAAATTTACAACAAGTTATAAAGCGAGCAGCTCGCTACTAGCGAGCGTGGTAGTCGTTGCTCTAGGTTGGTCATCTTGTCGACATGACGGCCACGGCGAGTAAAAAACGCGGATGTTGCAGCGCAGAGCTACGTGCTTATGCAGCACAAAATCTGAGGTGAGGGCAAGGTTTTTGCGCGTGAAATTCCTAGAAATTGCCATCATAGTTCTTCAGATCCCGTGCCACGACTGAAGTCACAATTTTACAGCTGATGGCGACAATAAACATTCCACTTATCGCCTGCTTTTCATCTAGAGAAAAGTCACGGAGCTAAGCGTTCCATTCATTTGTCCGCGTATTCATTGTTTCACAGGTTCAATTCGCAGAGATTAGATTAGATGATTTAGATTTTAGAGGGAGCAAGTGTGAAACAAGTTGTAGTGCAAGAAAGAGCTAAGTCGGCTGGCCAAACAAAAGATGCGCCCAACCACTGTACTAAGTGTCATTAGATCTTATAAAATTATGGAATATCTATCGTCTATCCATAGAAAAAGGCATAGGGAGCGAACCTGTGGTGGCTGATACATCTGCGCTGGATAGTGTACTGGAGTTGCTGAAAAAGTTACAATTTCGAAATGTGGGTATTCTTCCACCACAAAGACTACATATTTAACGACTACAAAGGCGAAGTAGTGCAAAAGCCTCACAAAAAGCGCAAACCTGACAAGTAGCCGGCTGAATGTACTACGGGAGCCTGAAAACATTCATGTTTTGTTGCTTTCATGATAACACATTATCGAGAATATTTTAGCCAGCGTTTGGCACTTAAGAACCAATCATGTAATGCACTACACTCAGCTGAATCTTATAATATTATCAAAAATCACCACAAGATCAGATGAAGATCAAGTGCAAGATTCGTGGACAGCTCTTGACCACTAGAAAGCATCGTTGCATTGCGAAGACCTACGAGGAGACATTGGATTCTCCCGGAGGGTCGAGTCACCGCGCTCGGGTGGGCATCATTAGGGAGGCGAAGATACCGATTCCAACTGCTCATACCCTGCATTGGGATTTGAATCAATCAAACGTTATATCTTCCCTTAAATGAATACAAAAGGACTCAAAGGCACACCCCAGGCAGAAGTCATGTGAACGATTTCCTGGTCTGTAGGATAGACCTCTAGGGAACAATCAAAAATTTGGCATTCCCGTGAACGGGGATCACCTAACGAGAGCACTAGGGCCTTGCAAAGTAAGCTGCTGAAGCTTCAGATTTTTGTCATTAGGCTGGTGTCTGGCACCCTCTCACCTGTTGCGCTCTCTCACCACATACACTCCTCTCTGCGCTGTCTTTCACTGCCCTGGTACAGCTGATTACGAAGGTAGGCGAGCCCTCAACCCGAGCGTTTTAGGCGGATTCTTGTTTTTTTTTCCTTTATTGCCGGCCCATTTCGCAACAACGCATTCGTATTCGTGTGCAAGAACCACGCCAATTTGATCCTGGGGCATGCCTTTAACAAAAGTTCCAAAGAGCGACTGCACCGCGTTCGAGCCTGCAGTAAATACGTTCAAAAGGCTATGAAGAATTAGGAAACCCTTTCTAAATTCCGTATTCAAGGCCCGGACCGAAAGCATCGAAATACATTCAGACCTAACCTAAAAAGGTCTTTCGAGTCATGCCACGCTTTTTCAAGACGGACTTTTGCATCATAGAGGGACACGTGCATGAAACATGGAACTATGCTTAATTTGCCCTTAGCTACCTCCTGAATGTCAAAAAGGGGTGTTCCGGTTCCTCGTGATGACAAAATTTTGCATTTTATGTTGTCGCAAAATGGTATCCGTAGCTAGTAATGGATCCATTGTAACCCTAGTGACCATCAGCAACGCAATCGAGTATGTTTTCACCAAAAATTGGTATCCAAAATGTGTAGCTCTTGAGCTTCTTGAACCCTGTTTTGGAATTCAGAAGGCAACTCAGGAGAAATGGACCATAGTCCTGTGTTCCATGCATGTGCCTCTGTATCTTGCAAAAGACCGTTTTTAAAAAGCGGGGCACGACATGAAAGATCCTTCTGGTGAATGATGCCAATCGAGCTATCATGCTGGTATTATATAGTAGACGGGTGGGGTTCAGTAGGTTTGAGTGTGACGCTTAGGGATCTGGTCACCGTAGGCGTCATTTCATAGCAAGTGTCTCACCTCCTTGCAACACA